CGACTTTAAGACATGAGCGGAAAATATAATCAAATAACTCCACAGAATAAATTTCTATGTCCACAGAGTGCCAGGACTTATCAATTATCAACACATGGGTAAGCTTTTTTAATCATTCCCATTGCATACTTTGGTATATTTGAATGTTATTCTCTAAAATATATGCTTATGCTTTCGACTCGAGGCGAGATCAGTTTGTTGATGATTACATTTTTAATTTTATGTTAATTTAAACCATTTTTTATTTATTGGCTGCTTGACATCTTCTAACAGTACCAACAGCTAATTGTTATTTTTAATCATGATTACACTTTGTCTTAAAACCAGAGTCCAGATTAGAGTGAACACACTAATGTTCTAAAGGAAGGTGTCGACTGATTTCAGCTTCAAAATTCTTCATAAAAGAACTTTCACAATAAACTCGTGACTTTCTTAACATAAAGTATAATAAAGCATTTTATGCCCTGGTCATGTGACACAGTACACACGCCTCTTGTTGTTTTTTCCTCTAGTGACTCCCAGTTGTGTGATATTTCCCTGTTCGCTTGCAGAGCCACAGTCTTGGCACTGCAGGAAACGATGGTTGCTAAGGATGATGATGCTGTTGCTAGTGCTTCCACTAAAATCAGATTATTTCTTACTGCTGATTGGCTGATCAGTACCAGTTTTCAGCCGCAGGCGTAGCAGAGAACACAGGACTCCCTGTCCAGTTCTGTATACAAATGCAGAGAAAGAAATACCTTAGAAATACAAATATACACAGTCTGACACATGCGGGCCTGCAAGAAGATTTAGATTAAGCAAGAGCAGGATGTTCATTTGCAATCTTTTGCTGCCAAAACAAAGAGACAACTGGTAGAGAGGCTGACAGTTTAACACAGAGACACAAAGACGCTCCTGCATTCTGCTGCATGACTCATCACTGTCACCGTGACCTTTATCTGCTGCCCTCTCCACCTCTGTTCTTCCATCCCTCCCCTTCGTTTTCATTTTCTGCACCCCTCATTTCTGCATTTCCTGATGGCCTTTTTTCCATCCTCCCTAATCTAGTGTCTTCTGATCCATAAATATAAGCTCTTCCTGACACAATTTCCACCATTTCTCTGGTGTCTTTCCCAATAGTTGTTTTTCCACAACTCTTAGTAATATAATACAAATATACACAGACAGACTACAGGCAGACTGGTGCTTGATGCTTGTGGCTGACAGACTATGGTTTGTATACATTAACTGTTCATTTAGCTGAATTGTCCAGACAGAGAGCACTTAACTGCTGCCCACAGTTTCAGAAATTCCTTAGGGAAAATGAATGTTCAGTGGACGTGTCAGGCCACCAAGAGCCTCCATGCAAAGGTGATGTTTTAATATGTTGCTTATAGATTCAGCAGCAAATATCTAGTGATACAGAATACATGCCATTTGTATACTCCTCTCTTTGCTAAACCACACCCTCCAGATCAGCAAGATCATTGATTTTCTCTTGTTTTCTAAGGTGGAGAAAACAACGGAAAGTGAAACCACATCTAGAATCAATACCGGAGCACTCTGCTCTGGAGGTAAGGACATATCTCATCGTGAAAACCGGTTGCTTTCAACAGACAGGTATAGAACTTGCAAGGTCATTTTCTAAATATAGAGAGAGACCCCAGGGGGAGACATGCAGAGAACGTGAAGAGTGGGTGGAGAAAATGAGAGGAAAAAGAGGGATGAATGGCCAGAATAAGCTGATGAACTCCTTGGTGTGTCATACAGGAGCCGAGTTCTGCAACAAAGATTCGTTTATTTTTGTTCTCCATTTACATTAACTGCAGTTTCAGAAACATATTCATAATCATTTATACATGTATAAAGAAATGTGTGTGTTTTTGCACATGGATTTTTGTGGGCTTGAAGCCACAAAGAAACAGGGAGTCAGTATGTTAAGGAATGTACCGATAACAACAGCTCATCACTGCACGTGTGAGTGTGTTGCATCTAGTAAGATATCACCTGCTGCAGCACCAGCAGAGGTCACACAGGACAAAGCTCCTCCCTGCAGTCGTCTGTCATAACTTAGATAAACAACCTCTCTCCCTCACTCGGTCTCGTTCTCACTCTTCCAGTCATGCATGAGAAAGGCTGGAGATTTTAGGTGTGCGTGTCCGACACACATATCCTAGTCGTGCCATAATCATTTCAAAATACTCGTATGCCCTTCTCTTGCAGGAATAATGGTTTCTGCGTAACCTCTGCACTTAGATGTTATCCCGAGTATTAAGACTGTATCCATCATATTTACTTCCTCTAATCCATCTTCTAAAAAAGAAAGAAAGAAAAAACAAACAAACAAAACAGAGTGCTTGGGTAGCATTTTGGAGCATAAGCTCCAATAAATTCACTGGCTATCACAACATGGTACATATTTAATACAGTGAAAAATAATGTTTGCATGGTTATTGCAGTCATGTGGGGTCAATAGTTGGGAAGCAATCTAAAGTTTCCCTTTCAGATTTTATCTGTCCTGCTTGGCTAAACATAAAACACAATCAATGCTCCTATTAGGTTCAGACTTGGCATAACCTGAAGGTAAGAGGGAACTGGAGATGGATCTGGCTATCTGGAAGGGTTTGGGTCTGTCAAACTCTGGGTAAACTGTGTGGCATTGATATAAAACTGTTTATACTTTATATGTCTATGGGCATTCAAAGCCCAGCACTGTACCAGCTAGGAAATACCCACTTTATGATTTAGGTCAAGACTTCAGTTACCACTGCATTTTTTGTTGATATATATATATATGTATATGGTTTCATCTGAAGTATAGATATGCGTTGTATCGCTTCAACATAGTACAACAGTAATTAATAGTGGGATTCCAATAAGACTTTCAGTTAGCTGATGATTTTTTTATTTGGTTAAAGAAATAAAACGATTTTTAAAAAATGTATTCATGGTTTAGAACAGTGAATTCTAACATGAAAAACTGATGTTGGATCTTAAAACAAAAACACAAAACAGCTGCAAGAATTAAACAAACCTCACGTCACTGGGACCCTTTCTGAATCCCATATTCTATAACATGCTCTACGTGCACTCTTCCTCATCCCGTGAGTGAAAGTGTGTTTAGATAATTGCTTTCAACATGTTGGTGGAAGATGAATCATTGTTCTACTGACACCCAGCGCGGGATATTGGAAGCTGGGCTTGCTCCTGCATTTAGAAATGGGCTGTGTTCATTTACATTCACAAACAACTGAAGACTTAAGAGTTCCAGGGCATTTATCAGTAGAACCTGATAACACCAGAGTGGCAAATACAGTGCAGTACCGTAAAAAGTATTTGTTCCCTTCCTGATGTCTTATGGTTTGTATTTATCACACTTGCTTCATCATGCTTCAGATCATCAAATAAATTTAGATAAATGCAGTTTGCAGATGTAGTTATTAAAATGATTATTTCATTTCGGGGAAGAGGAACGGGCCAAACCTAGCTGTGCTGTTTAAATCCAAGCTATAAACCAAGTCAGCTTGAGCCTCATGGCATTAACTGATGCCTGGACATTCTCCTTCAGGATTTTCTGATAGAGAGCAGAATTCATGGTTACATCATTTAGAGCAAGTCGTCCAGGACCTGAAGCAGCAAAGGAGCCCCAGATCATCATGCTACCACCACCATGTCTGACTGTTGGTATGATGTTGTTCTTATGAAATGCTGTGTTGGTTTGGGGACTCAAACCTTCCAAAAAGTTCAACTCTTGTCTTGTCAGTTCACAAAATATTTCACCATGACGTTATTTGGTGAATGCAAGACGAGCCTTGGTGTTCTCAGTGGTTTTAACTATGTAGCTCTCCCATGGATGCCACTTTTGCCCAGTTCCTGTCCAATTTTTGAAACATGAAGGCTGTCCTTAACTCATGCAAGTGAACCCTGCAGTTTTTTTTAGATGTTGTTCTCAGTTCTTTGGTGACCTCCCAGGTCATTGATTTACTCTTGGAGTAACTGTGGTATGCTGGCCACTCCTGGGAAGGTTCCAGGATATCTCCATTTGTGGGTAATGGCTCTCACCAGTGGTTTACTGGAGTCTCAAAGCCTTGGAAATGGCTTTGTAACCCAAAGTGATAGATGTCAGTGACTTTGTTTCTCATCTGTTCCTGAGTTTCTTTAGATTATGATTGTGGTGATTCAATTTGAGATCTTTTAGCCTCTTTCACTTTGTCAGACATGTTCTACGTAAGTGATTTCTCGATTGTGCAGGTCTGGCAGTAATCAGGCCTGGATATGGCAAGTGAATTTGAACTCAACTTTTCAACAAATGAGCTTAATCACAGTTGATAACGAGGTGGGCAATTACTATTTTAAATAGGGCCAGTCAGGTTTGGACAGGTTTTTTCCTTCATAAATAGAATAATTTTAAAAATGCAATCTTTTAAAGTGTAATCTTTCTTTCACACACACACACACACACACACACACACACACACACACACACACACACACACACACACACACACACACACACAAAGCGATCAGGACAGGGGTGTTTCTATGTCATACATATTATAATCATTGGAGAGACATGAATCCCAAAACTATTCAAGACCGTCAAAAATAACTTTGAGCACCTGGGATTTTGTTGTTTTGTGCATTAGCTGTTTAAACGTGTAATTTCCCCTACAATTCTCCCTCACTGTTGTTCACGGTGTTTTTGTGCCTCTCTTTAGCCCAATTCTAATTTGTTATGTGGATATATACCCACATCGGAAACACAACAGAAGCCAAGTCATTAACAACATTTTATCACTCAAATTTTTTCGGACATTCTCTGCCTCTAAGGGTTTTTTTCTTCTTCTTCTTCCCCTTAATCTCTTCTGAGCAGCGCGTGTTTTGCTTAGAAACGCTTCCACTCTCTAGTGGGCGATGCTTCCTCTTTAATGTGGAAGCGTGAGGACAGGAGTGTCGGGGGGTGGGGAGCGCAAAGGGATGGGGCGAGGCGCACAAGAAGCTTTTAGTATGCGCTGCAATGCCTAACTGCAGCCCACGCATCTCTACTATGGTGAATTATGGTGAAATATGAGAAACACGGGAAGAGCCGGCAGCTCAAAAACAGTTAGACGTGATGAGATGACACAGCCGCTGGACTGATTAGTCAAATAGGGGAAGAAGGGCACATATGAAGAAATAGACGAACGACCTCAAGACACCTTTTGAGAAGAGAAAAACTGGATTTAACAAACATTAATAGGCTACATGCGTCTGCACAACAACAAGACAATCGCGGTGAATTCCTGCATGCCATTAGCCTATCTGAAATAATGCTGCCTGTACTCGGACAGATAATGCTATGCTGCTTTGTTTAGTGCATGGAGACTGTTGTGGATTTCCATGATCCGCACAGGATAGGGCTGCAAATGGCTTGAGCATGTCCGGCACCTGCCCCTCCAAACTAACTCGCGCTTGCAGTCAACTACAACATTTTGCATTTAATGTCTGAAAATGCATGAACTTGGCTGCTTGGACTCACATTTATTAGCAATAGTTTATTTCGCCATCAGAGGGTTGGTTTCATCCATGGAGTTGTGAATGCATTCTGTTTCTTAGTGATGTGCATCACTGGTGTAGTCATATGGATTTTCCCCATCCGAAAAAAAGGATGGTGATATTTACGTTGAAATAATTAAAAAGTAACATTTTTTTAAACAACTTAGGAATCAAACAGGTGATTTCTTAAATCTCCTCGGCGGCTTTCACAGTATCTTTTCTTCACTGATGCCAGGCATCAAGGCTGTCGTTGTTTTTGTTTTGGGCGACGGCAGTGCCATGTTAAATTTAACTAATGCCAGGATTTTCAGTGTGTTTAAGTGCAAACCACTTGCCCCCACCGTCGTCCCCGACCAGCTTCAGCCTGTAGCGTAGCTGCATCTCGGCATGTGCCCGCTGGTCACTGAAGCGATGGAGGTAACTCCTGCATCCTCACACCTTGTCCCCTCTCCCATTCCCACTGCCGCCTTGCTGCAGCGCCAGAGCTTCGGATGATATATGAGTGACAGGAAGGAGCTGCTTGGACCGAGGGGAGTGACTCAGGACCGGGCACTCTGCTTAAGATTTACCAGCAGAGGACAGAGACTGTAAACAAGCCCAATACGTGCCTGTGAAAAGTAGCAGGTAGGGGCTTTTGATTGATTGATTTTTTCAGACCTTATTTTAAAAATCAAAAGCTGAAACAAGTTTTTTGGGTTTTTTTGTGGACCACCGTTGCTTTTGTGCAGCTGCTAATGAACAGAACAGATGTGTGTTATGTCAAACACGTGAATTGACAAATCTCCCAAAATCTTCTCTACTGAAAAAACTACGAAGTTTATTAATTTAGGTAAGATTTGTTTTTCAGCATTGGTAGGAAATGCTGGTAACACCAGATTTATAGAGGAAACTCATCTCAGAGACTGTGGAGCACTGAGCTCATAATCAGATTTGTTGGTTGTAATTGCACCCTGTGAGAGTGGATACTGTATTACTGGCCTGCATATTGATCCTGCAGTGTGCTCATATGAGGGAGAACTCATAACCTAATACACAGACACAATGGAGCCAGCGCTCGCAAATGGTTCTGCCCCCACCAACTTGTTATTTTCAAATGCTCTGCTTTCAAGGCTTTGAAGTAACATGGCCTTTCTGGGAAATAACAGCAGCTGAAAAATGTTTGGTTTAAAAATTGACAAAATAAGTGGATCATAAATGTTTGCCAGTGAATACAAGTTTCTGAACAAGTTATTCGTTTAAAGTCCCATAGAAAGTAGAGCGTGAAGCATGTGCTGATCACATTAATATTAAACCTACCTCTGCTTTCTGTCTGTTCCTTTTAGCAGGCAAATCTGCCTGACTGTACAAGTGTGTGGAGCCTTTACCTACTTGTGGCCCAGCGTGGCCCCGCCCGGTCTGAAAGCTGCAGGTCCCATCTTCTTCCATCATGACGGTCGCTACCAGCGACCCTGCGGATGAAGCAGCAGCACATCCAGGTCAGTCTCATGACCATTACGACTCGGATCCGGATCATGAATGCTGCGAGAGGGTTGTCATTAACATCTCAGGCTTGCGCTTTGAGACACAGCTGAAGACACTTTCCCAGTTTCCAGAGACACTGCTAGGTGATCCTAAAAAAAGGATGAGGTATTTTGATCCGCTCCGGAATGAATACTTCTTTGATCGGAATCGACCAAGTTTTGACGCTATTCTGTATTATTACCAGTCTGGAGGGAGACTGCGCCGGCCTGTTAACGTGACTCTTGACATTTTTTCTGAGGAGATCCGGTTTTATGAATTGGGTGAAGAGGCTATGGAAATCTTCAGGGAGGATGAAGGTTTTATAAGGGAAGAGGAGCGGCCTCTGCCAGAAAACGAGTTCCAGAGACAAGTGTGGCTTCTGTTTGAATATCCAGAGAGCTCAGGACCAGCTCGCATCATTGCCATAATCTCTGTCATGGTGATTCTTATCTCTATTGTCAGTTTCTGTCTGGAGACACTGCCACTTAATCGAAACGAAGATGAGATGTATAACTCACTCCAGTCCACATACAACACCACCACTCCATCTGCAAGCTTTTATTTTACAGATCCTTTCTTCATTGTTGAGACGCTTTGCATCATCTGGTTCTCTTTTGAGTTCCTAGTTAGGTTCTTCGCCTGTCCCAGCAAAACTGGATTTTTTGGCAACATCATGAACATCATTGATATTGTGGCAATCATCCCGTACTTCATCACCCTCGGCACAGAACTAGCAGAGCGGCCAGAGGATGGCCAGGCAGGCCAGCAAGCCATGTCGTTGGCTATTCTCCGTGTCATCCGTCTAGTTAGGGTATTTCGTATCTTCAAACTCTCACGTCATTCCAAGGGACTCCAGATCTTAGGGCAGACACTGAAGGCCAGCATGCGTGAGCTGGGCCTCCTCATCTTCTTCCTGTTCATTGGTGTCATCCTCTTCTCTAGTGCGGTCTACTTTGCAGAAGCAGACGAGCCAGTTTCTCAGTTCAGCAGCATCCCAGAGGCCTTTTGGTGGGCAGTGGTTTCCATGACAACCGTAGGCTACGGAGACATGGTCCCAACAACTATTGGGGGGAAGATTGTGGGGTCTCTCTGTGCAATTGCCGGTGTGCTGACTATTGCACTGCCTGTACCGGTCATTGTATCAAACTTCAACTACTTCTACCACAGAGAGACAGAAGGTGAGGAGCAGGCACAGTATCTGAATATGCCAAGTGTGCCTAAAGCCAGCTCAGCTGACGAGCTGAAGAAGAGCGGTCGGAGCGGCAGCGGATCCACTCTCAGTAAGTCTGACTATGTGGAAATCCAAGAGGCAGTGAACCACAGTATGGAGGACTTCAGATCAGAGGCCAGGAAAACAGGAAACTGCACCCTGGCCAACACTAACTATGTAAACATCACCAAGATGCGTACAGATGTATAATGCAAGCTCGGATGATTTACTTCTGCTGGGATCTACAATAACTGTAGTGGGAAGCTAAAGGTCCGCATACTGATAAATGTATGGGGCCCAGTATAGGAGTACAGAGCAGATCAGTGAGATTAACGTGGAGAAAGGGTCAGTAGAGAAGACCACATCCTCTCCCACATCATGTTCATACTATAGAACTGTCAGCTGTCGTATTCACGACATTGTTAGTGTTTGCATGGAGTTAGTCTTACCTGTGAAAGTAGTTATCCTGCCTCCAACAGTAGCAAAATTGTAGCCTAACCATAATAATCAATAATAACAATATAAAAGGACCACTAATTTTTTTATCTTCTTTCTCTAATTGCTGCACAAAGGATGCATGATAACAATATTCCAACAATATTACAGACGTGTCATAACTTATAAAACAGGCCACTCGATCAGCATTCATGGGCAGCTTTAATCTGCTGCTCTAACTGCCAAGGTCCAGATACACAGAAAGATCATTTCAACCAGATCACAGCTGTCCTCTCGAGGGAACACCGAATTAAGAAAGAAAGAACGAGAGTGCAGCACCAATATGCAGATGGCCATGTGCACTAGTATTCATTCCCTTGCTACATCTTGTCTAGTACAAGCTAGCAGAGACAGGTAGATACCAACAGCCTGTAATTCTGTACTGCTATAGCACACCACATTCTTTTCCTGCCATTTCTTCTTGATGAAGTTCAAAATGATTTACAATGTCTATGCAGGGTGCGTGACTCTCTCCACTCGAAGCCTTTTCTTGCCTCTAATTAGTGCAGATTAGCAGGTGAACAGCAGAACACTGAACAGAGTGAATGTCTTAACGTATTCTACTATTGAGTGTTTTTAATATAATTAATTTATGATCAACGTGGTCTTATTACATATATTTTCATGGCCTTAATGTTGAATGAAATGCTCTTTTAGTGTTCTGGGTGAGTTTCCAGCCTCTTTGCTGTAACCTTAGACACGCAGTTAAACGTGTTCAGCTTGACATCACTGCCCAAAATAAACGTTGCAGTTCTTGACTTCAAAGCATTCCATGTGTGTAGGAATAGATACAATGATTTTGTGGGCAAATTGCTGACATTCTGTTGCATATATCAACACAGCTTAGGTCTCATGATCAACTGAAATGTATATATGTCATTTTTAAGCTTCAGCTGTAGTGCCAGCATTTGAGTTTACTGCAAGTCTGCTTACGACGTCTTTAGCAGTTAGCTGTTAAAACAGAGTAATCTGACCTAATCAAGCTGCTTCACAGCGTTATCCTTTAATGGCCTCCATCTAAGGCAGACATGAAAAGGGAACATTTGTTTTCCTCTGAAAGTTGTTATGTGCAACCACCTGCTAAATTGGATCTTGGTTTGGCCCAACATATTTAACTAACCAAAACTTTTGCAGTTCTGATTTTGCAAAGCTGCATGTCCTCAAAAGTAATCATTGTTGCATGCATTAATATAAGTAATATTTGACAATAAAGAAAGGAAAACGTACTTAATTACATACATGGAAAGTTCTAAGCTAGAGAGGGTAGTGTGTTCATGTGGCAGCTTATTAGCTACCTCCAGCATAGGAGATGAAAGTGATATCAAACTATGATCCGCCCTGTGGATACTAACAACATCCCAAACTCTTCACTTTTCTATTTGTTATAGTCTGTTGCAGTCATGACCTAGTATCTCTGTATCATGAAAGCGCACCGTCTGCTGGCAGCTCAGTGGATGCACTGAGATTCATAGCTGATCAGTCAGAGTTTTTGCTCACCCAAGTGTATTTGTAATGCTCCAAGGATCTGTCTGAGTGCTGCCATCTCTAACATATAGGTCCATCAACCTCGGTGTGTAATATTTTGTGGGTGAGAGAGCTTATGAGAGAGAAATAGACTCAGACACAAAGAGACTGTGAGAGAAACGTAGAGCTTTCAGAGACACACAAGCTGACGTCACTGCTCTCAAATGCTGCTCCCCTTGTTTCCAGGCTAGAATGACAATGGTGCTCAGCGTTAGCACAGTGTTTACAGCCTATGTACTGCATATATTAAACACATGCACATAGTATATTAAACAAAGCAAACTGAAAGGAAACACTCCGTTGTGATGATGTCCACAAGTGCGTGTGGACCTGTGAGATAAGCTACAGTGTCTGCAAAGGCAAGTTACTGAAGACTTAAAATATAAGGAAGTAGAGCAAAGTCTGTGAAGGGAAGTATGATCATTCAAGTGAGACAACACTGCCGCAATTTTCTCCCTTGTATTTTTCTTATGTGTATTTGCATTACTATGAGCTGCTCCTGTGCACAGGAACACCTACGTATATATGTCACTTCAGGCTTAGGCTGGACGCTGTCTTTGCTGCTCTTCTTAGCAAGCATACAACACCTGAAATGACAACAAACTCTCAGAGAAACCAACAGCGTGGCACATCAGGATCTAAGTCATGGATAACACGGCTTTGCTGTACTGCACAACACGAGTGGACTTGTACACGGACACACATTCATACAAACACTGGGCATTTTAAAACGTACAGACAGTGTACACAGATGCTTACCCGAGAGATGTAATCTTATGGACATGTCTGGCAGACGCATTTCTGCCACAACGGACCTAAACCTGCCGATTGTGGGGTTTGCACAACTGTAGCCATGTAAATGTATCTAAGAGTTAGAGCTGCTTTAATTATGTCGTCAAGTACCTAATGCTTTAGAACCCGACTCTGCCGTGTGTAGGTTCCTGCGTAATAGAAAATCCATGAAACTAATTTGCTTTGTCAGAAATGATAAAATCCTGTTGTTTTTCACTCTGTTTTTGTATTAATTAGCTGCCTTTGAGCCTCAGAAGTGGATGGACTGAGGTTTGATGCAGAGCTTGGTCAAATAAATCCTGTCTCAGTACAAAGTTACTCTCAGAAAACCAGTCGCTCTGCTCTGTCTTCTTCAACTGTTTGACAGGCAAAAACGTGTGTGAATGAAATATAAGATAATCCTCAGCTCACTGACTGTGTTGTTGTCTATACTTACAGCTGTCTATGCTCACTATATGTACAAGGATTTATCTGCTATTGTATGCAAAAGAAGGAACTAAGAATCAAGCTGTATATTATTACACCCAAAGAAATATGGATTTGAATGTCTGTCCTTATCATGTCCTATGAACATAAACTAAAAACAGAAAATATCTATTCAGAGATACTTTCATTATTTAAAATAAATGTATATTATAAAGTTATTATGAATTATACTGGTCTCATTGATAACATCAAGAATATATTTATGCCAACATGCAGCTACTGTTGTGTTTTTCTCATGTGGATTCACACCGTGGTGTCCTATAAGCAGCTGTCACAGAAACGATAGTGAAATCGGCTGTGACATCATTTTGTGTGAGAAAGAAAACAAAACAAAAAGGAAAAAGCTGTAACAGAGCGTATACATCGAGGGAACCGCTACTGGAGCATCTGCTCTCATGTCCATTACATAAGGTGTATCAACCCTCACCACCTAAATGGTTTCGTGTCCCGCTTTTCGCCTTAAGTGAATCTTGTGCTCTCTGTGGATTACTGAGAAAGCAAAGTGGCCTATTTATAAAACCAGCAAGGAGGGGAGTGAGCGAGAGAGAGCAAAAGGCCCTCGACTTGTAATTCATCAGAGTGGGACAAGTGCAAACATTTCTCTGAATCAGAACCATTTGGCTCTCCCCCTTGTACCTGGTTTGTTTCTCCTCACGTCGCCTTGCTCACTTGTCAATATTCCAGTCATATTGCCCACTAGTGGTTCCTCCTCCCTGCAGGGTTATTGTCTCTTGTCTTTAGTGACGCTTTGGGGCAATTTTAATTACTCTTGATTTAGTGGCCTTGAAAAGTAGTGACATTCATTCACAATATTACCAATATGTTTTCTTATAGCTAGTCATTTTGATTGACATAAGTGCATTTGCTTTTATGCTGTATGAGGTAATATCTATTAGGCCAAGAGAGTGTCTCATGTGCAGGACATATTTCCCTGATGTACTGTGAGCTGATTTATACCCGAACATGCAGCACTCTTAATAGCCTGAGTGCATCTTTACATTCATGTGTGTGGAGGAGGGGAGTTTCCTTTTTCATCAGTCCTGTATGGATGGTGAAAGACCCCGTTTTAATAACACTAGGTTTTCTTTTTTCTGTTCACAGGTTTATGATTTAAGCAGCTAGAGGACTGTGTTATGTGTACACTCCATAATCATATTGGGTAAGGAAGACAAAGATAAATACATAAACCTACAAAAAGGTTAATTAATATGCCAGATATTCGATGGTGGATGGCTGACAGCCTGTCTGTGCTGTAGATGACCTGATGTTATTTATAGCTTTGACATAAAATCTATAGCCAGCTTTCACGATATACCTTTGCTTCCAGTGACCTGTTAATCTTCAGTATTCTCTTTAATTGTTGCAGCTGACTTGCTTTGACACCCATTAATAAATCGATCCACATAACAGAGACACGTGATTGCGGCGAAACAAAGACTCAACTGCTAATGTTCTAACTTCCCTGTGTTACTGAGCTCCGTCTGTCTTTCATCTGTCCATCTGTAGTGTTGGATTCCTCCACTACCTCTCCAACCAGAGCTTGATTATAAGGTCATTGTTTAGTTTATCTCTATATCTTTATTTATAGACACACATACTCACAAACCTCATTACATTAATACTTTGTGTAATCCCCCAGGTGGTGGTTTTGATCTTTCTTTCAGTTCTCCATCCTCATCTTTTCCAGTAAATGTCCCCACCCACACACCAATAAAACACAAGCCACTGAGAACACACTCAGATATCTAAGACTAATTTAATCCAGGATACAAAACGCTGATATGATGATCGAGCATTCTGGGATAAAAGACACATTCACTCAGGGCTTCATGCTCCATTATGTCATATTTCCACATAATAGGAACACAGTGAGACTGGTCACTACTTCAGACAACAAACTGATACTTTTACCTTCCTTTTTAACCTTGTTTGGCTAATAGAGCAAAGCATCTGCAAATCCTGCTGTTTTCATGATTTCCTCAAGTGTGAAATTTGCAGGCAGTGAGATTGTTTCAAAGTTGGGACGCACATCAACATTCTTGGGTTTGATACATGAACTGAACCCGACTGAAGTGCCTTTCGTTCATCAGCTGTGCGGCTTTCTATTAGTCTGTCTGACAGACTGGAGTGGGCTGCTTAACCTTATGCCTCCTTCATGCGTTATTTTCGTCTGCCCCCTGGTGTCGACAAGGTGGCATGACAGTGTTAACTGAACCAATATCTTATTTTATTTATTTGATGGAATGATTTAATTACTTTCTCTGTTTTAGGTTAATGCATAGAAGACAGACATTTCCCAAAACTAATGTGAAAAAATAGGAGGTTGTACCAGCTTGTATCCCTTTTAAGAATGAAAAAGCACCAGCAGCAGAAAATAAGATCAGAAATACGACTACTACTACTACTACTAAGAATAATAATAATAAAAATAAGAATAAGAATAATAAGAATAATAATGCAGTACCAAGAAACTGATACATACATACACATATTTTTTTAGTACTTATGTCGATTTGAGAAATGTTTTTTTGGTTTTGTGTATCTGCCAGTAAGTCGGGGGAGCAAATTATATCTACTTCCTCTTGTCCTCCAACCAGTCATTGCTCACATTTGAGATTCAGCACAGTATTAGAGTCTTAATATATCCTACTTCCATTAATAATTCCTAAGCTCAACAATCATGTCCTGTCCCCTTTCTGGACTTCTTTTTCTTGTTCTTGTTCTTTTATTTCTG